CTTATTGCAATTTATTTGCAAAATTTGTGAAAAACAAGTTTATGTGATAAATTGGTAGATCAACTTAAGCACTAATAAACACTCCATTATTATGCTCAAGGATATTTTAAAACCAGTAGATTAGTGATGCAAATGTGCATTTAATCTAACCTTGTAATTCTTGCATTAATCAAGGCTTAAAAAGAATTAAAATTTTCGTTTAAAAACGAAAAACCCCAGAAAAATTGGGTTTTTGGTTCGAATTTGGCTTATGGACAATTCTAAAGGGTTGAAACAGTTCCAGAATGTCGATTCCACCCAAAAATCACTATTTTTGAGCCAAAATCTGGGTTCGACAGCCAAATCGAAAATAAAATCGAGTTTTAAAAATTAATTAAAACGAGCATCTAATCTAATTAGATGAACATGAACCAGAAAATTAAATTCTTTTAAAACACCTTAATTAAACAATAATTGCAAAAATTAAAAGGAGCGTGGCTCCGATACCGCTGTAGGGTTTCGTAGTGACCCGACACTACGCGGAAGGAAACCCACCAAGACCCGCCCCTTAATTAAAGCAATTAAACAAGCATAATAAGCTTAATCAAACAAGATTAAGAACAAGAATTATACCTTTGACGCGTGCTTCGCTCCCAAAGAGCTCTTACTTCAAAATCCCGAAAAGACGAGATCTCCGTTGGATCGTACCCTCGACCCGACCCGAGCGTCCTAAGTCTTGAAGGTTAGTCAAGACCCGGGCAAAATAACTATGAGTTTTACGAATCAAAGGTTTATTCTTTTCTTAGAGTTGCCTTTTTAATTCCACTCAAGGTTGTCTCAATTCCCAATACCAAGCTTGGTATTTATAGGGAAATGATCCCTTGATTTTTCATTCCCCAACCAATGTGGGAGAATGTTTTATTTGCCAATTAATTTATTTCTAAAATAAATCAATAAATATATGCAATCACAATTTGACAAGTGTCAAAGGGAGAGAGAGTATTAGGTGAGGACCATGGAGAGGTGGGGGGACCAATGCCTTGCTCCCCAAGGCTTTCAAAAAGCCTTGGTCCCCACTCTCCTCACAAACCGCCTCACCCAAGGCTGCTGCCCAGCTGCCAGCTAGCACGCCAGCTGGTTGTGCCAACTAGCCCAGCATGCTAGCACAAGCCCAGCAACAGCGCTGATGCTTGCTGGTGCATGCTGGCGGTGGTGCTGGCTGGTGCGTGCTGGCGCTGGTGCTGGCTGGTGCGTGCTGGCACTGGTGCCAGCATCCCATGCATCATCGCTGCTCGCATGGCCCAGCATGCGTGCTGCTAGCGAGCCACACATGCTGGCCTTTCGCTTCGCACCATACTCGCACATCATGCGCGCCACGCACCATTCTCTCTCGCACGCAATGCCTAACATGTGTGCTGCTAGCAAGCCAAACATGCTTGGCTTGACGTTTCTAGCTTGCTAGCCCCTCGCACAGCCACACGCATCAGCCTCGGCCATGCACTGTGCACCATGCACGCACATGCCTCGCCCAAGCACCAAGCACCACGCACCACGCATGCGCCAGTGCCTAGCACTAGCTGTGCTTGGTGCGTGTGGTCCTGCCATGCGCCCAACATTATGCTAGGGTTGCTACGGCATCAAGCCATCCTAGGGCATGCATGGTGCGCCTAGTGATGCTGCCTGGGCTGCGATGGTGCCCAGCCATCCTAGGCCACGCATGGTGCGCCTAGTGATGCGCATAGGCTTGCGATGGGCTGCTATGGCGCCCAGCCATCCTAGGCCACGCATGGTGCGCCTATTGATGTTGCTGGCTTGCGATGGCGTCCAGCATCATGCTAGGGCTGCGATAGCGCCTGGGCATGTTGCCAGGGCTGTGTTGGCGCGCCTGGTGCTAGCGATAGCCAGCCATGGTGCCTAGCCATCACGCTAGGGCTGCGACAGCGCCTAGGCATGATGCTTGGGCTGCTATGGCGCGCCTAGTGCCTATGATGAGCTAGCCTAGCCTAGCTATGGCTACGCTCATACTTGTGGATTGTGATTTTGCGACGCTCGGTCTCGACGCCCTAGGCTCGATGTCCGACGTCTGTATTCGTAAAACTCTGTCGACTCATTAAATCCTTTCGGATTAATTCGTCGTCTCGGATCGGTGATTCGATTGGGTTCGACCCGAAGGGTTCAGTTAAGATTAAGCTGTAATATCAATTGTACCTTGATATTACTGATCGGAAGCGGCCTCCACCTAGGCATTCCGATCACTTGACCTTACTGAAGAATTAGCTCTGTAATAATTTTGAACCCTCTATCGGAAGAATACACTTGTTGGAAGGACACCATTCCTTTCAAATTTGACATATTGAATTATTATTCATGGTCATTTACATAATATTAGATATTAATTTGGATTTTGATATATGTTCTTTTTCATATTAATAAATGTTTATCTAGAATTTAATACATGTTCATTTAGATTTTATACGTTTTCATTTTCATATTGAAAGATTTTTATATCTTTATAGTGTGTTCATTTTTGAATTCATAATTGTTATTCATGCATAAATGTTCATTTTAATTTGAATCCTTAGATTTCAAGTACTTTCGTTGGAATGTGTTGTTATTATTATTATTTTTTTTTTTGAAAAATTAAATCGATCTCTTATTGTACAGGATAATATTGATCGATTTCAAGTAAGAAAGTTGAAGGCGACATATATACTGTGCTCAAATAATATTTTTCATGGAAAACACACAAATATATGATTAGAGGTGCAACAAGGAGGATACATATATATACACTTTATTATACTAAACTAGTATTTATCCCGTGCAAATGCACAAACTAATTTTTTTTGCTAAAATATTATAACGGGTTGTTTAATTGTACATTAAGATTGCTCTTTTATTGGAATTAAGTCAAAATAGGTCTATGATTTAAAAAATTATATATAGTAATAAATTAATAAAGGATCAATAGTAAAATAATGATGTTTTTTCAATTTTTTCATATTTCCACACAGAAAGATATATGAATTGATAATTAATATTTTTTTGACTCAATTATCTCCTATTATATAAGAAATTTATAGGTACAACCAAGAGACATAAGTGAACAGTTAATTGTATTTTGAAAGAAACTAAATTCATGTTTGTAAAGAGGATAATCATAAAATACAAGTGTCTTTTCAGTGAACAACATACAAGAAATGAAGGAATAAATAATTAAAGGAAAAAAAATAAAAAATAAAAGTGTACCAATAAGAGTGGGACACATGGCTGCGTATATTGTTTGTAAAATTTCCTATTATTAAATATTAGTATAGATGTAACAAATAATGTTCATTTAACAAAACACATATGTACATTTGGTTCACTTTCATGTTTATGAAACAATTACATTTAATAGTATATATGTCTATTATTAAATAAAAGTGTACCAATAAGAGAGGGACACATGGCTGCGTATATTGTTTGTAAAATTTCCTATTATTAAATATTAGTATAAATGTAACAAATAATGTTCATTTAATAAAACACATATGTACATTTGGTTCACTTTCATGTTTATGAAATAATTACATGTAATAGTATATATGTCTAGAAATGTGTTATTATTGTAATTAAATTAAATTTATTTTATATTGAAAAATAATTTTTAATAACTTTTTATTTATATGAATAGAATTCTAGACTTATGTATTTGCATAGATCTTACTATGAAACTTACATATAGCTTTTGAAATGAACATTTGATGATACAAAAATGAACATCTGTTAAAACACGAATAAACAAAAATGATCATTGGATGATGCAATACTTCTTATTATAAAAATGGTTTGAACGCAGTAATCCTTATAAATAAATTTGCTTTAATTTTTATTTATAGAAAATTCTTAAAATTCAATTCAGAAAATATATCAATTTGAACAAAATTCCTTATTACAAAATGAACATCTAATGATACATAAATGAACATTTACCAATATAAAAATGAACATGTTATAAAAGGGGTGGGGACGGGACACACACTGATGCGTTTCTTGATTCGTTTGGTCTTAGGTTTAAACAAGCTTCACTCGTTTGTTTTCGCCTAAGGGTTCTAAATCTGATTTCAATGCTTCACTCACCTTAATCTCATGATTTAGGGGTTTTTTTGAGGATAGTTTGAATTAGCTTCACTCACTAATTAATCTAACCTCTCTTAAATCAGGTTTCACTCGCCTAATCTAAGGGTTTTTATGTTTAACTTCACTCGTCAAACACAAAGAAAAGTTGGAAAGAAACGTTCCAAATTAACAAGCAACAAAGATTTAATCAACAAAACAAACTTGTATAATTCAAAGTTTACAACTTTTATTTATAGAATCAAAACTAATCCTAAACCTAATCAAATTAGAAGACTAATCCTAATTGAATTAGAATCCCATTTGACCTAGAAAACCTAAGAAAACCTAAACTTGATCCCCAAGTTCCTAATTCGGATATGACTAAACTAACTAAGTTTAATTCAACTTAGATTAGGTTATTCAATCCTCCTAAAACTCCTAGACACGCCTAAAGACTAAAGTCAAGTCCTAATCCACTTAGGAACTTACTTTGCTAAAAACAAGTTCTAATTCAAATAGGAACTCTCTTTTGCTAAAGACAAGTCCTAATTCAAATAGGAACTCACTAGACCAAAACAATTCCTAATCAAAATAGAAATTCTAACGCTTAAAACAAGAAAAACCCTTTCAAGTGAAAGGTAAAAACTTGTAAGCCAAAATCTAATCTAAGAAACATTAAAGAAATGGACCAAGAAAGGAAACCTTAAATGCTCCCGCATCACGCACGAAGGGTGGGGGAGTGTAAGCAGTGTTCCCTGCCGCGGGAAGTAGGTAAAAATTTGTGTATGAATTCCGGGAGGCATTTTCATCCCGAATTTTGGGCAGGCCTAACCATGTATGCAATTTTTTTTCATGGCCCGGCCCGGCCCGGCCTTTGATCTATAACCTATAATTTTTATATCTCTTCCTTGAATTAAAAAAAAAAAAAAAAAGTTTCCTAACTTTAGTTCGAGCTTAACCTAGTCAGTCGTCTATATATTCGAAGCAGCCGCATTGCCATACACTGAGAAAATACAGAACTTCATTGTCTTCTTGAATCTACAATTCTCTCAAATCCCCGTCGAACCGGCTTGTCAGCTTTCTCCCCTCCATTAAGGTAAGATGTTCTATTTTATCATCGATTATCAATCTAACATCTAATTCAATTTAGGGTTCTTCAAAGGTAGATTTTGTTATTGAATTATAAGCGAGAAATTTGAATTGGGTCAAATTACGCTATTCTTAAGTGAGAAGAATAGAATTCGATAATCGATTGGAAAGTATATTTAAAATTTTAGGTTTCTGGTTTATAATTGTTTGTTGTACGGAGTAAATTACTGGGGTTTTAGCGGTTTATGAAATAATTGATTAATTCTTGTGTTTTACAACAAATTCTGATAAAAGATTTGAACTTTATGGTTCTAGATTAATGGCAGTTACATTCTACGATTTGAATTTGATAATTGATTGGATAGTTTATTTAAAAATTTTGGTTTCTGATTTATAATTATATGTTGCACGGAGTAAATTACTGGGGTTTTAGCGGTTAATCAAATAATTGATTAATTCTTGTGTTTTACAACAAATTCTGATTAAAGATCCGAACTTTGTGGTTCTAGATCAATGGCAGTTACATTCTACGATTTGAGCTCTGATGCTGGTTTGAAAAAGCTCGATGAGTACCTCCTTAGCAGGAGTTACATTACCGGGTTAGTCATAATTATTGAATTGCGTAATTTTATAGTAGAATATTGTTGTTTGAAATAATTTTAATGTTTATGATTATGGGTTTAATATGCTAGTTACCAAGCCTCCAAGGATGATCTCACTGTGTATTCGGCTGTCCCGAAAAAATCTTTGGATTCATATGTGAATGTATCTAGGTGGTACAAACACATTGATGCGCTACTGAGGATCTCGTAAGATTTTTCTGGCTTTGATTTTTGATTTCGTATTTGATTTGATTTAGTTGGATTGGAATTATTTGATTTTTTTATCAAATTGATTGAATATTGTGTTGTTTTTTCGATAGTGGTGTGTCCGGTGAGGGATCAGGTGTTACAGTTGAGGGAAATGCTCCCGCCTCTGATGTAGCTACGCCTCCTGCTGTCGACACTAAGGTGGTATTCACATTCTTTTTATGTTATTGGGTTCTTATGGTATTTCTGGGAAAGTTTCCAATTATGTCTGCATTGTGATTTAATGGTTCCTAATCATATAATTGGAATATGTCAGGCATCAGCTGCTGATGATGAGGATGACGATGATGTTGATCTCTTTGGTGAAGAGACCGAAGAGGAGAAGGCCGCTGCTGAAGAACGAGCAGCTGCTGCTAAGAAGTCTGCTAAAAAGAAAGAATGTGAGTATCTTGTGTTGTCTTGAATGGTTGAAGTTGTACATATACTTGTGGATTAATGGCTGTGAATGCTCATACTTTTTCAGGGCGTTTATGTAATATTGTTTTTCTGATTTTGATGAAACAGCTGGCAAGTCATCAGTCTTGTTGGATGTGAAGCCATGGGACGATGAAACCGACATGGTGAAGCTCGAGGAAGCTGTCAGGAGTGTTCATCAGGAGGGTTTGCTATGGGGAGCATGTATGTTTACCTTGTGTTTACAACTACTAACTCTTTTTTACACTTTGTTTCGATTTATTTTTCATTGTGGCTAAACCAGTTGACTCGTTTATTTTTTGCTTGACAGCCAAACTTGTCCCAGTTGGTTATGGTATCAAGAAAATGACCATCATGATGACAATTGTGGATGACTTGGTCTCCGTTGATGATCTTATCGAGGACCATTTGACAGCCGAGCCAATCAATGAGTATGTTCAGAGTTGTGATATTGTTGCCTTCAACAAGATTTGAGAGGGATTATGATGTTCTGCATCTCCAAAATCAAAATTTTATCTAGTAATTTTGTTACTGTTTTGTTTGGGATCTAATTAAGTTCTCAGAGAAACTGGCTTTGCATCCATGTCGAGCTGTTTGCTTCAAGACTTATAAGAATTAGCATGATACTATATTTTTTTGTTGCCTATTTTCTCCCCGTAGTTTGAATTTGTTTAAACTGCCTGCTTGGGTTGTATTGTTTTGGTGCAAAGTTACATGCTAATTCGTCTATTTAACACCAATTCGACACGATAGGATGAAAACAAGGTAGAACTTCTATGCCTTTTCATAAGTTTGAGTAAACTCTTAAAATAAGCAAGTTTCAAACCACAAATGAATATGCTAAATTTAGCAGTTGTAACGTCTAAATTATAATTTATGCGTGGGTGTTGTTAGTCTTATTGTCCCAGCATACGATTTAATCCATTAAACACATAAGTTAAGGGTTTGCTTGGCATTGTTGTATTTTTTTTTTTGGTTTTTTGTATTTCTAAATCATATGATATATATATCATATAATGAAACAAAGGAAAATTTGTTAGAAAAAACCTTTTTAAAAGCACCATTTGTCAAAAAAAAAAACCTTTTAAAAGCTTTTTGGTTAAAAAACCACCACGTTTATTTTTTTGCGAGAGGAAACCTATTTCCTTAATTACCCTCTAAATAACTTAATTAAACTCTAATTTTTTCTCATTTCTTCTAATTAACCTCTAACCTACCAAATTATTAAATAACTAGATGGAAGCCCGTGTGATGCACGGTTTTTTCACTTAAGATTTTTAATTATTTGATTTATTGTATTTAATAATTTCAGATAAAATTACAAAATTTTAATTTTTTTTTTACTATAATTTATAATGAATTTATTAAATATAAATAAATTGTAAATATGATATTTTTTCCGTTATATAAAATCTTTAATGTGAAATGATAAATTTTTAATAATTTAAATCCTAAATCATTATTCATTGTTTTACCATATCTTTTATTTCGATAGAGTCACAAACCTCGTCCACAACCAACCTACTACATCAATGGATAAATTGAACTGTGAATGTTAGCCAAACTGAAATGGATATAAATTAAATCTTTATATTTATATAAAATAAATCAATATATTAACAAATAATGAAAAATTGTTGCGATATAAAATCAAATCTATGCATTGGAATTTTTTCATCATCTCCAAAAATAACCAAAGCCATCCATATATTAAGTATACAACATCTAATCGTATGCCCTTACATAAACGAATAATAGTTAAGTATAATAAATAAATACAATGTAATTAATAATTACAAATATAAATTTAAACATAAGATTTTAAAAATTACCCGGACATTGATGACGTAAAACTAACACAAAATTACTAACAAAAAATTCGCTTGATGGGGTTTTGTATTGATACGGAATTTTATTTTTGTCATATGATGTGTTAGATCTGCATGTAAAAAAGCATTTAGTAAATAAAACATAAACATATAATCGTTGAGTATCCCAAATTAATACAATGTAAGTAATAATTAGAAATACTAATTTAAACATAGGATTTTAAAAATTAAGCTAAAAATTACCCGGCCATTGATGATAAAAAATTAACACAAAATTACTAACACAAAATTCGCTTGATGGGGTTTTTTTATTGATACGAAATTTTGTTTGTGTCGTATGATGTGTCAATTTATAATGGTAGGTGTTTCGGGGTTTTTGATGTCCTGCGGGAGAGTTACAATTCCGAGACTGGAATCGGACGCCTGTACCTGCAAAACAAACGGCGACTCCGAGTGATTGGAGTTCCGCCTCCAACGGTCAAGTTAGAACTTGTTTAAGGAGTAATTAATGCGGAAAGGTAAAATGTGTTTCTCTGGGTGAGAGTGATTAATCAGCGTAATCCCTTTTAATGAGGATTAATGAAGGTATTTATAACCTTGGGATGCGTGCCAATCCTAGGTTTTCGGTTAACCTAGGGCTGATTGGGCTGCCCTTGAAAGTTGGGCCTAGGTGGCCGGTTTTTCCATTAGGCATGGAGGATGCCAAGTGTCGTGACATAATAGGTCCTTGTATTTATAACCTTGGGATGCGTGCCAATCCTAGGTTTTCGGTTAACCTAGGGCTGATTGGGCTGCCCTTGAAAGTTGGGCCTAGGTGGCCGGTTTTTCCATTAGGCATGGAGGATGCCACGTGTCGTGACATAATAGGTCCTTGGTGGACAAATAGGCGCGTGCCACGTGGCAGGCACTGACAAGTCCAATTAGAGGACACTTGGCAGGACCTGATTGGCCCACATGGCGCATTCTGATTGGTGGGAGCAAAATCCCTTAATCATTTGCCCCTCACAGGTGGCACGTGACTGGTCACATGTCACCTGTGACAGGTGTCGGCTCGTAACAGGCGACGACCTGCTACAGGTGTCGTTTGGTGAAAGGCTGGGAGTTTTTCCCGCTCATTTTTCGAATTTGAAGAGTGTCCCTTCTGTTAGGTTTACACTGAATTCAAACTAGAAAACACTTAATAAATTGTGTGGGACAAAACCTAAGTAATGTGATTACACTAACAATGTAATGTAATACAAACAAACACAACCAAGGTGTTACAATCAAGTATTAGAATATCAAAGAAATTACAGAAAATTTCTAAAAGAAACACTAATATGAAGACTTAAACACTTGCCTAAACTCCAAACTTATCAACACACACATGAACATGAGAATCGCGATGTCCCTTGAGACTATGATCTTGATACTCTGTCAAAGGCGTATGAATACTTTCCTAAAGGGATTAATTTCCCCCACACGGTGCTTAGGTCAATCCGGAAATTCCCTTTGAGATACAATTGACAGCCCTTTCCGTTCTTAGCACAAAGAATCGAAAAACCGATGGATGATTCACAAAGAAGGCTAAAATCAAGAGGTTTTTCTCTAAATAGTTTGCAAGAAAATTTTGAGAAAAATGGAGAATTCTTGGGAGAGAAGATGAGAGAATAATGTTCTATCTCCTTACTTTCGGAAGAACTCATTCCATATAAAATAGAATCAACCGTCGCATAAAACCGCAAAACGGCAAGAAGCGCGGGTGCGAGCGAATAGGCGCGGGCGCGCCACCACAGCAGCGCGGGCGCGCCACCATCTTGTGCGGGCGCGCCACCATCTTGCGCGGGCGCGCCACCATCTTGCGCGGGCGCGCCTCCTTCTTTGCCTAAAAACTTCGATTTTCCAGAAAGTTAGTGCGATTTATGCGCGGTTTAGGCGCGGGTCGCGCCATACCATGACGCGGGCGCGCCAACCGGAGGCGCGGGCGCGCCTCCAAACTTTTCCAGATTTTCCAGAAACTCATCGCGGTTTTGCGCGGTTTTGTCGCGGGTCGCGCCTATTTGGCGCGAGCGTGATTCAGAAGAGCAAGCGCTCCTCCGACACTCTAAATTATCAACAATCCTCCCCCATTTAGAGTGTCTTCTTTATACATTCTCCAAATCTATCATTTAGCCACATCTTATGCATCAATGTTAATGTCCCTTCGGATTGTATTAACACCTAGTACAACACACTTAACGATGATCATATCCCATGATTTCCATATGGATTGAATCACACGGATATATCCAACCATTCGAAGGTGAAGTACACATAAGATAAATCGAATCATTCATCACTTGACACTTTTAAACAACCATGTGTCCGTATCTTTCATAAGTTCATCAAAGTCTATATGTCCTTTTAGACTTCTTGAAGCGGCTAAACTTCGAACTTATATAGGTAGGTTCTCATATACGTAATTGTGCCCTTGTGACAAGACACTTACATTTAGAGCTTCTCAACTCTAAACCTTTGAGAACTTTTAATTGACGCTACCTAATACATCACAAGTACCATAGCAATATGGGTCATTTAATATTGCTAACAAACATCAAAGATGTGATTCAACCACATTGAATCTAAGACTTGATGTTTCTTCAAGTGTTAGATTGGGTTTCACAAGTTTGTGTTTTTGGACATAAACCCATTCCATTCATAGCAAATATGATGGAATGTCTTGGCATTGCCTTGGTAAAGCAATCCGCCAAATTCATCTTTGTTGGAACATAGTCAAGACTTATGACCCCATCATTGATAAGCTCTTTCACTAGGCTATGCCTTAGTGAAATATGCCGAGACTTACCATTGTACACTTGACTATAAGCCTTTATCAATGCCGAATTAGAATCACAATAGATTGCCACCGGTGGCATTGGCTTTGACAATAAAGGCAACTCTATCATGAGATTCCTCAACCACTCAGCTTCTTTACTAGCTGAAGCAAGAGCTATAAACTCTGCTGCCATAGTGGAATCCGCGATGCAAGTTTGTTTCTTGGAGGACCATGAAATGGCACCTCCTTCAAACATGAATACCCAACCACTTACTGAAGAGTCATCCTCTTTGTAAGTGATCCAACTAGCATCCGAAAATCCTTCTAAAACTGAAGGAAATCCACTATAAGATAGACCATAGTCTAACGTACCCTTGAGGTACCTTAAGACCCTCCTTATTGCAAACCAATGCTGTGCACCCGGGTTACTAGTAAATCTACTTAGTTTTCTCACAACCAATGCAATATTCGGTCTTGTACTAGTCATGGCATACATCAAGGATCCAATTATCCTTGAATATTCTAATTCGGAAATTGTTTTCCCCGAATTCTTAACCAATTTGACATTTGGTTCCATGGGGGTGTTCACAGGACACTTATCAAACATATTGAACCGTTTGATCATTTTCTCAACATAGTGAGATTGACTTAATATAAGTCTTCCATTGTCCCGAATTATCTTGATACCTAATATGACATCCGCCTCCCCCAAATCCTTCATCTGAAAAGATGAGGATAAGAATTCCTTGGTCAATTCTACTTGTTGTAGACTTGTACCAAAGATAAGCATATCATCAACATATAGACAAATGATGACACCATGACCTTTGTCATCAAATTTGCTATATACACACTTATCAGCTTGATTCACCTTGAATCCAAAGGACAAAATTGTGTCATCAAATTTCCGATGCCACTGCTTTGGTGCTTGTTTAAGTCCATACAAGGACTTAACCAATTTACACACCTTATCTTCTTGTCCTTCCAAAACAAACCCTTCGGGTTGTTTCATGTATACTTCTTCCTCTAAATCTCCATAAAGGAATGCCGTTTTGACATCCATTTTATGGATCACTAGATTGTATACCAAAGCCATTGCAATTAACAACCT